TGCGATCTCCACTCACTGCAACCTTTGCCTCCCGGGTTCAAGCCATTCTTCTGCCTCAGTCTCCTGAGTCACTGGGACTACAGGCGTGGGCTACCACGCCCGGCTAATTTTTGTATATTTAGTAGAGACGGGGTTTCACCATGTTGGCCAGTTGGTCTCAAACTCCTGACCTCAGGTGATCTGCCCGCCTCGGCCTCCCAAAGTGCTGGGATTACAGGCCTGAGCCATCACACCTGGCCCCTTTAGATACATCTATTCCATTAGTTCTGTCCCTTTAGAGTTTAAACTACCACCTGACAGTTGTTAGCTTAAATATTGTCTCCTCAAAGAGGCCTTCCGTAGGCACCCTATTTAAAACATGTCAGCGCCATCTCATCCTGTTTTTATCTTTCTTAACCCCTTTTATTGTATCTTTCATATATGCACCCAATTTGAAATTGTTTTATTTCTATATTGTAACAGACCTTTGTTGTTATTTTTGACCCACCAGCATTTGAACCCCCTTCCTGCATAAAAGCCCAACAGGCCAGATACTCACATTCCCAGCCTCCCTTGCATCTAAGAAAGTCCAGTCAATCTGGATGTACTTTCTCAGGGCTGTGAATCAGGTGCTAGTGATGCAAAGAAGTAAGGACCATGGGGAATCCATTTTGGTGGTGGCACTAGAATTGGTGGCAGTGCCATTGTCTGTCACTCGGCCCTTTGACTCAGCAGATCCAGTGGTGTTTGATGTTTCTATGACCAATTGCCATGCAGTATGAAGCCCAAGAGCAGATCGCTCACATTTCCAGCATGCTTGCTCCTGGGTCATAGTCACCTTTCTCTCAGTCTGCACCTGCAGCCTTATGGAGAGTTCTTGATGACTGTTGACTCATAAGCCAATTTTTCAGCTGGGTATATATGATTCTGCACAATTTTCTGGAACTAGTTTAGAGTGGATCACTATAGCATTAAGGCCCCATTCAGGGTGATCCTGAAAGACAGTGGAGAATAAAATTTTTCCAGTGAGCAGAACATCTTATTTTCTACTTTTCCTGAAAGAGGAGTGGTTCCTTGAGTTGGAAGCTGAGACCACCATCTGGCTTGGGCTTCTCATGCCACAGGGTGAATGAGGAGTTACCACATTGGTAGGGGGAGTTGATTCTGACTATTCAGGGGAAATTGGCTGTAGCTACATGATGAATTCATGGAGGGGTGTAAAGACACCCACGTAATTTCAGGGCACCTCCTGATGATGCCTTGGTTAAATTCAGTGGTCAAAGTTAATGGAAGACCACTGTAATCTTAATCAGGCAGGACCACCAAGGGCTAGTGTCCCTTGGATGTGAAGGTTCAGATATTTTGAGGGAATAGAATATCAACCAGTGAGGGCTGGCTGGAGGTTAAGAGACCTTCAAATGAGTCACAGGGGAAGTGTGGTATAGAATTCTGATTCCTGCCCCATGATGTGCATGCCCTGTGCAATCTCTTCACCTTGAAGTGATGAAGTGATGCCCTTGACCCCCTGACTTGTGAATAGGACAGGATATAACTTGAGTGATTAAGTTTTATGTGTCTAAGATGAAGGGCTTTTGCAGATGGAATGAAGGTTCCTAATCAGTTGACTCTGAGTTTGTTAAAAAGGAGATCACCGTTGGTGGGCCTGGCCTAACCAGGTAAACTTTTAGAAAAATGTCTGGGGTAAGAGACAAGAAGCAATAGCAAGCTGCGTGCAGTGGCTCATGCCTATAATCCTAGCACTTTGGGAGACCAAGGCAGGAGGATCATGAGGTCAGGAGATCGAGTCCATCCCAGCCAACATGGTGAAACCCCGTATCTACTAAAAATACAAAAATTAGCTGGGTGTGGTGGTGTGTGCCTGTAATTCCAGCTACTCGGGAGGCTGAGGCATGAGAATCGCTTGAACCCAGGAGGCAGAGGTTGCAGTGAGCCAAGATCACGGCACTGCCCTCCAGCCTGGCAACAGAGCGAGAGTCCGTCTCAAAAAACTTCCATATTGTGGAAAGGACGATGTGTTAGTGAACAACAGGCAGTTCTAGGAGCTGGGAGCCTCAGTTCTATAAGCACAACTACCAAAAATAGCAGTGCGTTTGGAAGAGGGCTCTGAGCCTCAGATGAGATTGCAGTGCTGGATGACACCTTGAGTTCATTTCTTTTATATTTTTAATTTTTATTTTTGCTTGACAGTCTGGATATGTTTGTATGACACCTTGAGTTCAGCCTCGTGAGGCCACGATCAGAGGACCCAGTCAACCTAGACCTACACTTCTGGCTCACAGAAGCTGTGAGATAATACATTTGAGTTATTTTAAGCTGCTAAATTTGTGGTGATTTATTTTACAGCAATAGGAAATCAGTACAAGGCTGGGTACAGTGGTTCATGCCTGTAATCTCAGCACTTTGGGAGGACAAGGCAGGCAGATCACCTGAGGTCAGGAGTTCGAGACCAGCCTGGCCAACATGGTAAAACCCCGTCTCTACTAAAAATACAAAAATTAGCCGAGCATGGTGGCGGGTGCCTGTAGTCCCAGCTACTCGGGAGGCTGAGGCAGAAGAATCACTTGAATCTGGGAGGCAGAGGTTGCAGTGAGCCGAGATGATGCCATTGCACTCCAGCTTGGGTGGCCGAGGGAGACCTGTCTCAAAAAATAAAATAAAATAAAATAAAATAAGAAAACCAATACAAGAAGAGAATAATATATATCAGCTAAGTCCCAGAACCAGTTGCAGAACTACTGACTGTAACTTTTATCCATATTCCCTTCCTTGTGAAATGTGTCTATTTTTCTGTTCTTTAACTGACTCCTCTTTTCTTTCATCCTCCTTTATTGCATTCTTGAATATAGGTTGTTGTGGTGGTATTACTACTACTCAGCAAGATTCTGGTTTTACTTCTCATCTTGGCAGTTACCACCTCGAAGTTAGGCATAGCTGTGTGACCCACTTTGGCCAATGAAATGTGAACAGAAATGGCATATGTCACTTGTGGACAAAAACATTTAAGCAAGAATTTCCCTTGTTGTCTTCCTTAACTGGAGCGACCATGGAAGCCTGTGTTGAGATGAAGAAGCATGGCAAAAGATCAAAACACTTGAAAACTTGAGCTGCCACATGGACTACAGCTGTGCTGGAGACTTGCCTGGACCCACAGCAGGCTTGGCACGCATGGGGAATAGACTTTTGTTGCATTATGCTCCTCAGATTAGGATGTCATTTGTTATTGCAGCATTACCTAGCCTACTCTGACCAATCAGGTGTGTTGGTGGTAGTTACCAGCTGTTAGAAAATAGAGACGTAAGATTACAATACAACTAGAGGAGGAAAACATGTCACCCCAATATCTTGGATTTAGAATTGGATGTTGCTATGGAATGAATTGTGTCCCCTCCAAATTCCTGTGTTAAGTCCCAACCCTAAATGTGACTGTATCTGAAGGTGGGGTCTTTAGGAGGTAATTAAGGTTAAATGAGGCCAGGTGTGGTGGCTCATGCCTGTAATCCCAGCCCTTTGGGAGACCAAGGTGGGTGGATCACCTGAGGTCAGGAGTTCGAGACAAGCTTGGCCAACCTGGTGAAACCCTGTCTCTACTAAAAATACAAAAATTAGCTGGGTGTGATGTTGTGTGCCTGTAGTCTCAGCTACTTGGGAGGCTGAGGCAGGAGAATTGCTTGAACTTAGGAGACAGAGGTTGCATTGAGCCAAGATTGTGCCACTGCACTGTAGCCTGGGTGACAGAGTGAGACTCCATGTCAAAAAATAAGAAGAAGAAAAAAAGGTTAAGTGAGATCATAATCCAATAGGAGTATAGCCTTAGAAGAAGAGAAAAGGACCGCTCTTTGTCTCTCTCTGTCACACAGTAAGAAGGCGGCTGGCTGGTTGCAAGTCACAAACAAAGCCCTCACCAGAAAGTGACTATCTTGGCCTTTTTTTTCTTTTTTTTTTTTTTTTTTGAGGCAGGGTCTTGCTTGTTGCCCAGGATAGAGTGCAGTGTCATGATCACGGCTCACTGCAGCCTCGACTTCCCAGGCTTGAGAGATCCTCCCAGCTCAGCTTCCCAAGAAGCTGGGACTACAGGCACCTGCCACCACACCCAGCTAATTATTTCTTTCTCTTTTTTGTTTTTTTGTAGAGCCATTGCCCAGGCTGGTCTCAAATTCCTGGGCTGAAATGATCCTACTGCTTTGGCCTCCCACAGTGCAGGGATTACAGTCATGAGCCACTGCCACTGCGCCTGGCCCATCTTGGCACTTTTGATGGTGGACTTCTAACCTTCAGAATGGTGAGAAAATAAATTTCTGTTGTTTAAGCTCCACAGTCTATGGTACTTTGTTATGACAACCTGAACTGACTAAGATGGATGTGATAATTTCTAAGGCTCTGAGTCATCTGTCTTTGGGGAGGAGTGAATTTTTTTTGGCTGCATAAACAAAGGTGATATTATGTTAGGTGATACCCTTAATTTTCTAAGAAATCTAGGATTTGGGAAGAAAGATGTATGTTGATCTTGGATAGCCATAGTGTGAACTATACAGATATTTATTATTATATTCATTGCCCACAAAGTTAGCCCCTTTCTGTGTTTGAGAAATTTCCTATTATATTACTCTTGGCTACTGGTAGACTTTGCTTTCCATCATAGAATCCCCAAAGGTCACATATTAATTTTCCCAGCCCCCTCTGCACTAGGACTTGGACACATGACCTAGGCTTTGCTAATCATAATCACCTTCCAACGACTGTGAATAGGAAACTAGTAGCGATGTGAAGGAGTGGGGTTATTAGAGAATCTATTTCTGGTGGTGGTAGGAGGGGTGGTGAAATCTCTTTTACAGGAGCAGCTGTAGCTATGATTCCAGAGGTGGCATCTGGCAGGCTGACCACCTAACACTGGTGAGGCTTGGGGCAATAGTAAAAGTGGAGGGCCGCTATCTAAATATTTAAAAGGTAAAAATCAAGCTAACAAGTTGTCAAATGAAAGATGTGTCTGTCTTCCTTACCTTGAAAAATATGCTTGCTTGCTTTCTTCTTTTTTTTTTTGAGACAGTTTTGCTCTGTTGCCCAGCCTGGAGTATAATGACACGATCTCAGCTCACTGCAACCTTTGCCTCCCGGGTTCAAGAGATTCTCTTGCCTCAGCCTCCCAAGTAGCTGGGATTACAGGCATGCACCACCATGCCTGGCTAATTTTTGTATTTTTAGTAGAGAAAGGGTTTTTCCACGTTGGCCTAGCTGGTCTCGAACTCCTGACTTCAGGTGATCCACCCGCCTTGGCCTCCCAAAGTGTTGGGATTACAGGCGTGAGCCACCATACCTGGCCAAAAAATATACTTTCAAAACAACTTGGAGGCTAGGTTTAAGTTGAGACTTCTTGAACTCCTTGGAGTTCCATGATGGAATGAGGTGGTAAGGGGAGAACCCATCACTAGCCCTCCACTTGTCCCTCTCCTCTTCCTATCCACAGTTCTATCCTGCACCATGAAGGGTCTCATGTGCCTGGGTGTAAACACTCCAGCTCCGAACATACAAGCTCTTTCTACATTCCCTGCAAATAGCTACTTCTTGGCTCCCCTCTGGACCTGGTAGTGTGTATATCAGTGATACAGTCTATCCTAGGAAGAACAGATCTGAGGAAGAGGCCCATATGGATATTGGAAGCTACTTGGGGGCATTTGGGCAGGAAATTCTGTTTTTCAGTTCCTGAAATGTGGTCTAGAAGAAAAGAATGAGTTCTGGGTGGGTGCTCCCTTGATTCTGTGGACTTTTTTTCCCTGTGTCCAGAGATATGATTAGAGGAGGGCCAGATTAGGGTCATCTAAAACATAGAATGTAGGGCAAGAGCCCCAGTTGTCTCGACATAAGCGTTGTCTTGGCCACTTGGCATCCCCTTTTGGTGGTGTAACCATGCTGTCTTGGAGGCCTATCTGGACCATCTGTACTGTACTGTATGCTCTGGGAGTGGTTCTGGCTGCCTAGGCTCACTTATTCTTGCTATTTTCTGCATCTTCCCAGGGTCTTTTTAAATAAACTCCTTTTCTGTTGGAATCAGCCAGTGAGTTTCAGTGGCTTGCAAGTAAGAATCCTGATCAACACTTTTGTTTATTTGCCTTCTGTTTTTGGAGGAGAGGGGGAAGCTTCATGAAGACCAAGACCATATCTATCTTGTTCACTATTGTATCACCAGCACCTAGAATAGTGCCTGGAATGAATAAGTGTTCTGGGTTGCAGACAGTGATGAGACATCTCTTTAGACATGAGGGGTTTTCCCAGGGCTGGAACCCTATATGATGGCAGTGCTGAGACTCCTGGGGGCCCTACACTAACATTCAGAGTGATACTCTGGCACTCAGTGCTGCCATACAGGAACCATTTACATAGACTACAGAGAGGATGGTGCCCCCTGGAGCTGTGCAGTGCTGCTGTGCTGCCTGACAGGTTTAAGTGTTCCTGACAGTGGTAGGGTTTCCTGAGAGGAATGGTGGCTTGATAGTAATGGGGAGACCTTGACATTAATGGGAGTCCTGTCAGCAATGAGGACATCATAGATATTGGGACATCCTGTCAGGGATGGGGGTTCCTAAACTGATGAGCACTTTACAGTGTTGAGGCCCTGACGGAAGGGCTGGCTTCCTCTTGGGAGAGGACCCTTGAAATGATGGTTTGACAGGAATGAGGTCGACGTGGTGATTGGGGTTTGGATGGTGTTAGGCTCAGATTTCCAGGGACTGGGATTCTGAGATCAGAAGCCCTAGGAGATCTGGTTGTCCCAGAATGGTAGTGTTCCCGCGGGTGGGGTGAAAGCTTTCCCACCTCTGCCAAGTTGGAACTGAGGGCGGCTCTTATCTTCTGCATCCCACTGGAGCCACGGGGAAGACCCAAAGGCCCTAGAAGTAGGGTGGGGAGGCCTGATTCCCTCATCTACCCTGATCCTTAGAGGTTCTGTCCTCGCTTTTTTCTTCCAACTCTGCCCTTCCTGCCCCTGGCCCCTTGGGAGATGAAAGTGCTCCTCAGAAATGGGTCTTTTGAGAGTTGATGCTGCCCTGCTGCCCTCAGATGCTTTGCTCTTCAGAGGTCCTCTGCCACCTGCCGATCAGACGCCGGGCCCCACTCCTTTCCAGGAGCCCTGCCTGTCAGAGGGTTTCTTATCCTGCCTCTACCCCTACCCTCCAGATCCCCAGCACTGTCCCTACATTCCTCATTTCCTTTCAATATCACCAGGTCCTGGCATCTGATACTCCCCTGGGAATAGGAGTAGAGTGGGCATTGCTGTAGCCCAATCCCCTTCTCTACTCCTCTGCCATGGGGAAAACTGAGGCCTGAGTAAAATCCCTCTTTGAGGCTTGGGGGAAGCTGATACCCCTTCTACTGCAGAGGCACAGGAGGTTGGAAGCCCTCTAGAGTGTGTGTCTTTGTGTCTGGATTCAAGTGCGGGGACCCTACCTGTGGCCACCAGCTTCCTCTCTTGTTTATTTCCCCAGCTTTTTCTAGCAAGCTGAGCTTTTCTACCCCAACTAGACTTCCCAACCCCCAGCCCTCAGTCCAAGTGCTGCCCATCAGGCAGGCTTAGACTGCAATCCCAGCTTTGCCACTCACCAGCTGAGTTGACTTGGGAGGTAATTCTCCTCTCTGTGCTTCAAATTCCTTATACATAGAATGGTACTAATGATACCTCATGGGATCGTTTGAGGGTGCCATGATGTAATGCCAAGAAAGGACTCAGCTTGGAGACTTGCACATGGCCAGCACCCAGAAGTAGCGACGTTCCCTATTCCCATGGGCTGCTTCTCCACTTCTGGCCCTGCTATACTGTTCTCCATTTGTAATTAGGAGATAGGTCAACTCGGAGAAGTGGTATGTGTAGTAGTTCAGAGTAGATATTCCGGAGCCAAACTGCCCAGACAGGAACCCCAGCTCTGCCTTTTTTCTAGTTGTCCAGCCTGGGCAGGTGACTTAACTTCTGTACCTCAGTTTTCTCAGCTGCAACATAAGAATGGTAATAGCACTTAAAGCAGTGCCCAGTACCTGGTAAGCATTAGTGGTGAATTAGCTAATACTCAGAGCCATGTCCTTCCATGTGGACAAAGTCTCAGGGGTCACCTAGGAAATTATCTGACCAGAGAAATGCCTGCTAATTCCTACAGAGGGGCACTTGGAGGAAATTTCCCAATTAGGAGTCCTGAGCCTTCACAAAACTGTTATTTCTAAGATTTTCTGGTGGTTTCTGAGTTTCCCGTAGCCTAGAAGGAGGGGGTGACATGGAGCTTGCCTGCCGAGAAGCTGAATATGAGATGATCAAAACTTGATCAAAACCGTATGAAGCTGGCTCTGAACAAACGCTCAACCACACAGCAGAGATAGCCCCGGCTGTCTTGAGAACTGGATGTGCTCCTGGTGGGGGGCGGGGCATGGTGGGAAAAGGCCATGTTCAGTTCCATTTTTGTTAATCATATGTGTATTGGGGCTTATTTTGTACCAGACCCTGTCAGAGCAATGTTGGCAATGGAGTTGGATGAGGCCCAACCTTTCCCTCGGGAGCTCTCTCAACAAATAGAAAAGGGAGCTTTTCATCACCCAAAGGCTAAGAGAAACCTGAGCAGAGGTGTCAGATACTTTTAGGAAGATATTGGCTACTGAGATATTGGCCTTTATGATGGGAGGTATCACCCAGCTGCAGGCCTTGAACCTGTAACAGATGCCATGTGCCCTAGAGAGGAAGGTGTCTATCTAGAGGCAGGCAACAAGGCCTCCACATCCTAACTGGGGAGCTAGGAGTCCACACCACTCCTCAGAGGGCTGGCAATCTCTAGTGGGCTCCTAGCCCACCAGAACTCTGGATAAATGAAGATGCAACAATCGTCAGTGACTCACCATGAAGCAGAAAGCAGATGTTGATTAAATGGAGTCACAGGGCTGAGAATGTTAGAGTGGGGCAGGATGCTCAGTTGCTCCAGTTGCTCAGATTGCTGAGCTTATGTACCTGGCAGGGAGATAAGACCCAGTGTCCAGGATGGGTCGATATGGTTGGGGGGTGGGAAAAAGAGGAAGGCAAAAAGCTAGGATGGAAAGCACTGGCTATAGAAGGGGTGGGGAGGGTTGCATGCCAGCTCCCCTAGGGCTCTGGTGTCCACCCCCTCAGATTTCCTCCAAATTCTTCGTTTCCCAGGCTTCCAGGGTCAATTGAATCCAAGGCACTTCACTAGCTCCTAGACTATTTTCTCTTTTTCTGAGCCTCAGTTCTCCTTTGATCTCAGAAGGTGGCCCCAGGGAGCGTTTTCTGGATGTGCAAGACTTTGTGGGGTATCTATGCAAATGCTGGCCGTTTAGTATAAGAACTAAAGAATCAGGAGCCAAGTTGTTGTTTGGAAGGAGTCTCGAAAATCAAGCTTCTCTCTCCCATCTGACAAATGGGGAAACTGGGTCTTGGGGTGCAGAATGGAAAAGGAACTTGCCCAGAGTCGCACAATGAGTGGGGCAGAGACAGGATCATGGGACTGTGGCCCAGGCAGTGAATTCAGGATTTGCTCTGTACCTCCTGGCAGCAGTGTCATGGAGGTAGTATCCAGGGGCCCCTGTCCTGGTAGCATATTCTTCAAGGCTCCCACTCTCACCTGCCCTGCTCTGTCTGTGTGTTCCTCCGATAGTCCAGAGAGATCACTTTTGTTGCTTCTGTGGCAGACTGACTTCCTGTAAATGTCACTGGCACTGAGAGGGTTTTCAGGCAATCTGCTACCCCCACCCCCGCCATGTGCATTTGTCCTCTGAGACACCAGCCTGCTGGGATGCGGGGCATGGGATCCACAGCTGGGAGACGTAGAACGCCATGGCTGGCTGGCTCGGTGGATGGATGAAAGAATGGCTGGGTGGGAAGTGGGTGAGTGGATGGTTGGATGGATGGAGGTCTGATGAATGTAGAAACAGCTGAATGAATGGATGCATGGATGCATGATCCCAGGTGATTCTAAGACCTGGGATACCCAAGGTTTTGAGCACTTGCATCTGGGAGCAGAGGAGAGGAAGAGGATGTCATGCTGTCAGTGAGGAGGGGCTGCCACAACTCCCTCAACATTTCTCCCTTTTCTTTTTTTTTTTGAGATGGAGTCTCGCTCTGTCACTCAGGCTGGAGTGCAGTGGCTAGATCTCAGCTCACTGCAAGCTCCGCCTCCCGGGCTTACGCCATTCTCCTGCCTCAGCCTCCCAAGTAGCTGGGACTACAGGCGCCCGCCACCTCGCCCGGTTAGTTTTTTGTACTTTTTAGTAGAGACGGGGTTTCACCGTGTTAGCCAGGATGGTCTTGATCTCCTGACCTCGGGATCCGCCCATCTCGGCCTCCCAAAGTGCTGGGATTACAGGCTTGAGCCACCGCGCCCAGCCCATTTCTCCCTTTTCAAGGCCTGCCCAGGCCTGGTTTTGTTGCTGGCTGAGGTATACCTGATATAACGACGGCCTCTCTTCCCAGGCAAGGGTGCTCAATCTGGCCGCCTTGCTCTCATCTGACCCCAGTGGCACAGACTTGTCACTCCCAGCTGGAGAGGGCCTTAGAGAACACCATCTGGAGGCCAGCCTGCTTCCCCAGGGGACTTCTCAAGTACGAGGCCCTCACTCTGTACAGAGAAGCCCTGTGGGATGCTCCAAGAGTCACATGGCTCTCATCTCCCAGAGCTGAGATTCCTTTCTGGTCTCATCTGGGGAGATGTCTCTCGTCTCAGTGTTGCCTTTGAGCCCTGGAGCCCATGTAGACTGTAGGGGTGGTGGTAGGGCTCCTCTATGCGGAATCTCTTGTGTTTCCCTGGCTACTCCTTCTTCCACCCCGTGGGCCTCTCTCCTGTCTCTGACCTCTGACTTCCAGATCTGTCTGTCAGTGTCCCTGAGAGGCATGGCCCCAGGATTGTAAAGATGGGGCTGGACCTTGCTCAGTTTGGCTGAGAGAGGAAAGCTGGCCTGGAAGTCAGATTCTGTATGGACAGAATGGACAGATGGGCCCTCAGCCCTGGCTTCTGAGTCTTTCCTCACATATTTATTCATTCACTAAACAAATATTTATTGAGGGACTGCCTTGAGCCAAGCAGCATGCTGGACACCAGAAAAACAGTGGAACCCAAAAGAGATGTGATCCCAGTCCAAGAACATGGACAAATTTGGACAAACCAGCAAATATAAGTCAGTATGATGAATGCTGTGAGGGGCTACTACAGGAGGCTACCTAACCCAGCCTGGGGTCAGGGAAGGCTCCCTGGATGAAGAGGCATCTGGACCCAGATGGGAAGCCAGGTGGGCAGAGGAGAGAGAAGAGTGTGCCAGACCAAGGGAAGGGCGTGGGTGGATGGGTATTTTCCCCCTAGGCAGTAGAGCTGGGTCCTTTGCCCCACTCCACCTGCCCCAGCCATGAGAGCTGATTCCCCACAGCTCCCTTCCCCTGAGTGACACCGGATCCCTCAGACACCTGGATGCTTGAACACCTGCTTTGGAGAGCAAAGACTAGGAGGCATGAGACACTGGCTCACTCAGGGAACTGATCCAAGCTTAGTGTTGCTGAACTATGGAAAGCAGTGAGGCTGATCCTGAGAGCATCAGGTTGTTAAGTGAAGGTGAGCGAGGAGATCCCTTAGGCCACAGAAGAGAAAATAGATACTGCCATTCTACCTCCCCCTTCCTATTCCTGTCCTCCTGGCTAGACAGCAAACAGACAGCAAACAGATCTATGGGTGCCAGGTGGCTTTTTTTTTTTTTTTCTTTAAGGCTAGTCAAGCAGTGGGAGTGGAGAAGAAAGAAAGAAATCTGTAACTGGTTGTGATCAATTAGTTGTAAACACCAGGTGGTTTTATTGGTAGCATTGCAGTCTGGGGGTGGAGCAGCTTTACTCTGACCACGCTCACCCTCTTGCTTACACTCACACGCACACACACCCCAGGCCCTGTCCTGGCTGGTCAGGTCTGGTGCAGAGGAGCTGGAGGCCTGGTGCTTCCTTCGGGTCCTCGGTTCCCCAGATTAGGTAATAATTCACAACGCTTCACTCGGACTCCAGGCTCCCTCTGGTGCTGTCATGGGTTAACTGCTGCGGCGCTTCATCTAGAGGAGGCAGGAAAGGAAGGGTCACAGGCTGGAATCTTAGACAGGAGCTCAGAGGGAGGATACAGGGCCAGGGAGGCCAGGCTTGCCTTGGTTGAGGTCCTCTGCAGTCTCTGGATGATGCGTTCTACCCAGGACTGGTCTGGGGGTGCACAGAGCTGGCGGCCCCTCAGTGTGGTGAACCTGGGGTGAGAGGTCAGAGAGAATGGAGCCCCAGAATCCAGCATATCTGGGGACCATGTCTGGGAACCTGTTTCAGGGATTTCCTTGAAGGGATTGGGCTTGGCATGGAGAAGGGGAATAAGAAGGTGGGAGTCTCAGCAGGGGCTAAAAAGGGAGATGAGGCTAGACACCCTCCCCACCACTCACACCACAGCAGGCACCCTGCAGCCATCCTTGATGAGAAGGTAGCGGAAATTCCTCACGATGTACCCCGGGATGGGTTTCTGGGTCACAGACAGGCAGCAGTCTTCAGCATCATTGGTGCCACTCAGAGTTGGGGCTGGGATGGGGAAAGAAGGTGACAGGACACAGGGCCCTTGAGGGTGGCGTGGCCATGGCCCTAGCTCGGATTAAGGACACCTCTGTGTGTGTATGTGTGTGTGTGTGTTTGTGTGTGTGTGATGGGGTAGGGGAGGAGTTAGACCTGGTATTTAACCAGCATGCACCAATATGGCTCTGGCTCTGCTGGTTGCTAAACATATTGTCATACTTCTAAACTGTTTTGCAAATAACCACTGCTCTGAGCCCCACAAATGACTTCCTGCTGCCCTGATCACCCCAACCTCTCTCCCAAGACAATCCAGCAAGTAAAGAGTTAATGCAAGTCACAGTGTGGGAGGGGTGTGGGGTGGGGTAGGCTGGTGTTAGGAGCCTTATTAATTGCTAAATTTTTGAATATCAGCCTTGGCTTGGTGTCTGCCATTCTCCCTACCTTAAGCAAATCTCCTTCTGCCTGGGAAACGGAGGCAGCAGGAAATAGAGCTTGCAGAGACAGCCACAGCCATAGGCCCCAGGATGTACTAAGAGACACACCCGCATTGGAATTCAGGGGCACAGGGATACCCACACTAACAGGCACACATGCAGGGACCCGCCAGGCTCACCGAAACATGCAGACCTAAGCATTCGCCTGAACTCACCATGTCCCTTACGTCCAGTGCCAAGCAATCTGAGATCTAGACATTACCCACTGCCAGCCCCTCACTGCCCCTGACCCTGACTCCTCCTTCAGCCTTACCTGGGGAGGTCCAGAGAACCAGCAGGCTGAGGGCCAGTAGCAGGGCCATGGAGGGTGAACAGAGGCAGGCCAATGGCGAATATGTAAGTGCCAGCTGTCTTGGTGTGTGCAGGATCTGTGCGAGGCTGCAGGGCGACTGGGATGCAGGGGTGAAATGCAAGGTATGAATGATGTGAGGCTGGGAATGTGAGTCCTGCAGCTGACTCCTATTTATGGCCAGAGCTTCACTTTCTCTGCCTGAAATTCCCCTTCATGTCCCATTCTGTGATTCCCCTGTTACCTCCCTCTTTCTGGCAGAATCTCACTCTGCCCCTCCTTCTTCCCCACTGCGGTTGCCCTTTCCTTCTGCTTTCCTTGGCTCTTGCTCTGAGAACTTAAGTCTGCAGTCTGGCCCAGTAAAGGGGGTTGTGCACTGTTTCTCCAGAGAAAGGGATTGCTCTGTCATCCCATCGGTGGCATTTGCATCATCAATCATGGAGCTGGGGTTCAGAAGTGATGGTCAAAGGTGGGGCTCCTTTCCTTAGGTTTATCCCTTGTCCTCACTGGTGCTTCTTTCTTGGGAGGCTGATGGTGAAGAAGGCTCCCTAGCACCCTCAGGACAACCATGAGAGCCTGGGGTGGCCTCCAAGGTCCCACCATATGGGAACCAGTCCTTCCCTTGGGGCAAGCAGAGCTGAAAGGCCAGGTACCTTGGGAAGAGACCCAGGACCCCCATCCCACATCTCTGGCCTCTGGGGCTCAGCAAGCCCTCCCTTTCCTCCGTTTACCATTTTCCTATGTCCAACACCTGGGTCAAAGGAACAGCTGGAGGGAGACTGGCTTGGAATAGCCCCCTTCATTTTCCCCCTTTTCTCAGTCCTGGGAACCAAGAGGGGATTTCTAAGGAGAGGGGCTGGCCAGCTCATATTCAGACAAATCTTAAAATTTCAAGGAATCGGCTGATGGAGGAGGGGACAAGTGACTTCCCCCTTATGAGAAAGGTCAGAAGAGAAGGCCTCAAAAGAGAAACTAAATATGAAACGCCCATTCACCCTTCGTCACCCAAGTCCTAGACCCTCTCTTGGATGCGGAGAGGGAGGGGGAACATTTCCCTCTTAAATTTCTGACTTAGCTTCTTTCCATTCATTAATCATAAGAATAGTAATGGTATTTTTTGATTGTTTGCTATGTGCTAGGCTCTATGTCAGGGACTTTACCACTATTACCTTGCTTAACTTTCCCAAAACAATATAATTGATGTAGTTTTTCTTATTTTCGCGTTATTATTCTTATTTTACCCATAAGGAACATGAGGCTCAGAGCACAAAGCCACACAACTAGTAAGTACTGGAGCATGATTTGGACCCAGGTGTGCTCTAGGGTTTACACTCTTTACCTTCACCCCACACCACCTGTCTGCCACTTGGTCATGGCACAGCACGGGTAGTACACGGTGCAGAGGAGGGAGACTCTGCAGACAGAGCGCCTAGCTTGGGATTCAGATTCCACCACTTACTAACTGCGACAAGATGAAAATTCTCCAGTTTCTGTGTCTTAGTGTCCTTATTTGTAAAATGGGAATGGTAGATCTACATCTCAGGATTAAATGAGGTACCCTGAGTAAAGCCCTTAAAAGCCCTTAGCTTAGAGGCTGATGCACAATAAGTTCTGTTAGGCATTGTTCTTCTTTTGTCCTTTCTTTTTTTTTTTGGGACAGAGTCTCCCTCTGTCACCCAGGCTGGAGTGCAGTGGCGTGATCTTGGCTCACTGCAAGCTCTGCCTCCCGGGTTCACGCCATTCTCCTGCCTCAGCCTCCTGAGTAGCTGGGATTATAGGCACCTACCACCACGCCCGGCTAATTTTTGTATTTTTAGTAGAGGTGAGGTTTCACCATATTGGCTAGGCTGGTTTCGAACTCCTGACCTCAAATGATCTGCTCGCCTCTGCTTCCCAAACTGTTGGGATTACAGGCGTGAGCCACCATGGCTTTCATTAATTCATCCATCCATCCCTCTTTCCATTGATCTATCCATTCCTCTGTCCATGGTGGTTCTGGTTATTCTGTTTGACCCAATCTATCCATTTTCCACTCTTCACGGCCCTGCTCTGCTCCCTGGAAGGCTGACCTCTGCAGATAGCATTACTCAGGGTCTCCTGCTCTCTGGCTTCTGTTTGGGGCTGGCCCATGGGAAGCAGCAACAGGAGATCAGTGGTGGAAGGAGAGAGGCTGGGGTATTAATTCCCCAAATCTTTCATCTTGTTGCTGTTCTGGCAGTGAATAATTTCCCTTGTGGCAGTTGTTCTCAAAGAGTAGCCTTTGGGCAGCAGCAGCAGCATCACTTGGGAGCTTGTTAGAAACACGAATTCTTAGATTTTACTTCCCACTTACCACATCTGAGACTGAGGATGGGGTAGAGCAAACTGCATTTTCACACACCCTCCAGGTGACTCTGATACATGCTAAAGTTTGAGATCCAAACGAGCCTCAGAGATACCATCAAATGTATACCTCATCCCAGGAGTCTTAGGAGGAGAATAGAGAGAATAGGGCATTAAAAAAATTGAAGAAATAATGACAAAACATCTGAAATCTGATGAAAAGTATGAATATACATATCCAAGAAGTTCACTGTGCCCAGCCTGCTATGTTATTATGTTTATCAGAGATCTTTGTTTCTTTGTGTGGCTGTAAGTTATTATTTTTTGTTCTTTTGTTTCATTCTGAAGGTCTCCCTTTAGCATTTCTTTGTTTGTTTGTTTTTTGTTTTTTATTTCTCTCTTTAGCTTTTCTTATGGGCAGGTCTACTATTAATGAACTTCATAAGTTTTGTTTATCTGGAACAGGAGTTTGAAACCAACCTGGCCAACATGGTGAAACTCCATTTCAACTCCTGACTCCTCAGCTACTCAGGAGGCTGAGGCAGGAGAATCCCAAGGCTCACATTGACCTCCCAAAGTGGTCTACAGATTGAGGCCCACTGCTCTAGAGTGATCCTTTTGGGTTGCCTCCCTTCCACGGGTCTATCTCTATTCTTTTTTTTTTGACACAGAATCTCAATATGTCACCCAGGCTGGAGTGCAGTGGCACAATCTCAGCTCACTGCAGCCTCTGCCTCCCACGTTCAAGCAATTCTCCTGCCTCAGCCACCTGAGTAGCTGGGATTAGAGGCACACACCACCCCGGCTAATTTTTTTTTTTTTTTGAGATGGAGTTTCACCCTTGTCACCCAGGCTGGA